TTTAGGGAGGTGTTCATCCTTAATGGGATTCTAAGGAGGTTTTTTCATCCTTTGATTTGTTCAGAGGAGGTGTTCATCCCTAGTGAGATTCTAGGGAGGTGTTCATCCTTAGTGGGTTTCTAGGGAGGTGATTGTCTTTTTAATTAGTTTACTTTTTTACTGGTTCTTCTGCTGAGTTGATTGTAATTTGTAAACTGAATTTGAAAGATAGTGAATGAGGAGTCACTCTTGTGTTAAGAGTTGAATGGGAACTGGATGTAGGGTTGGCTATACCCGAACCAGTATAAATCTCCGTGTACTCTTCTCTTTCCCTTATCTCTTTCTCCTTTCCTTATTATATTATTGTTTCCGTTTTATCTGTGTTCAAACAAATTATTGACTCACAAATAAATTTTTAATTTGACATCTATTTTAATTTGTGCATCTATTCACCCCCCTCTAGATGCCATTTATCTAACAAGTGGTATCAGAGCTTGGTTAGATAAGATATTTCTAAACGATCTCTCAAGATGTCTATGTAGAATCAGGTTTACAGGGAAGGAGTCTCAATAAACAGACCACCATTATTTGAAGGAGAAGACTATCAGTTTTGGAAGGCGAGAATGAAAATATTTTTACAAACACTAGATTATGGTGTTTGGGATGTTGTACTCAATGGTCCCTACATTCCGATGAGAATAACGGAGTCTGGAGCTGTTCTAAAGACTTTTGATCAATGAACGCAGGATGAAAATAAGCATGCCCATTATGATGTAAGAGCCCGAAATGCTATTTTTTCTGCCTTAACTCATAATAAATTTTTCAGGGTCTCATAATACAAGACGGTAAAAAAAATATGGGACACTCTTGAAGTAACACATGAAGGAACAAATGAAGTAAAGCGAGAACGTAAGAACACACTCATCCAGGAGTATGAATTATTTCAAATGAAGAAAAATGAAAGCATCACGGATTTCCAGACACGCTTCACACATATAATAAATCACTTGAAAGCATTAGGAAATTTTTTTGACAATGAGGAGTTGAGCACAAAGATCTTAAAATCCTTAGATAGGAATTGACAACCAAAGGTCACTGCTATTACAGAATCAAAGGATCTCACAAAATTGAATATTGCTACTCTATTTGGAAAGCTGCGAGAACATGAGATGAAGCTACAAAGGTTAAAGAACGGTGAACAAAATCAAACCAAGACGATAGCTCTAAAAGCAGAAAAATCTTCACAAGACGAAAGCGAAAATGAAGGTAAGTTTTCGGACTCCAATATATCTCTTTTTGTTAAACAATTTTCTCGCTTTATGAAGAACAGGAAAAAGAGACAACAAAGAAAGGAGAAAAAAAATAAATTTCATTGTTATGAATGTGGAAAACCTGGTCATATCAAACCAAACTGTCCGGAACTTAAGAAAGAGAAGAAAGATGTGAAAGAGAAGAAGAAAGAGAAGAACGATACCTATAAGAGCAAACACAAAGCTTATATTGCTTGGGAGGATAATGATTCTTCCATAACATAAGAGAGTTCTTCCGAAAGCAGTGATGGAGAAAATGAAGCAAATATTTGCTTGATGACAAAAAGTGATGATGAAGTCTCATCACAGGTAAATAGTACAAATTCCTTAAATGAATATGATGAGTTATTTAAATAATATCAAGATATGTATGAAAGTTTTACCAAGTTATCTAAGAAATACAATGTACTTAGGCAAAAGTTTAATGCATTAGAAAATACTGTTGGTATTCTTGAAAAAGAAAATGAGTGCTTAAAGAAAGATGTTGAGAAATTTAAAACTTTGTCTAAAAATAAAGAAGTTGCTAAACCTTGTGAAAATTGTAATCTTTTGGAAAATGAGATTTTCAAGTTAGAGAAAATAATAAGCAAGTTTTCAAAATCTTCTGAAAATCTTGATTCTATATTAGGTTATCAAAGAGGGAATTCTAGCAAAGCTGGACTTGGTTACAAACCCAAAGAAAGTCTAGAACCTCATAAAACTATTTTTGTGAAAGAGTCAAGGAAAATAGATGTGAAACCAGTTTCAAAAACTTTAAGAAACACATTTAGACATTTTCAAAGAAAACCAACATGTTTTTATTGCATGAAATTAGGTCATACATCAAATAGATGTTACATAAAACATTTTGACATATATAATGGCAAATATGAATGGGTGCCTAAAGGAACAAAACATTTATACATGTCTAGATGATAGTTTGAGCATCTAATTGATTATCAGAATCAAAAATTTTTTTCTTGTTGTCATAATCAATTATGTTGAAAGTTTGAATTTCGAAAGTTTGAATTTATGAAAATTTAAAATTATTAAAGTTTGAAATTTTGCAGTTTGAGATTCTTGAAATTTGAAATTTTGCAATTTGAGATTTTTGAAATTTGAAATTTTGCGAGTTTGAGATTTTTTTAAAAATTTGCAGTATGAGATTTTTGAAATTTGAAATTTTGCAATTTGAGATTTTTGAAATTTGAGATTTTGCAGTTTGAGATTTTTTGAGATTTTTGAAATTTGAAATTTTGCAATTTGAGATTTTTGAAATTTGAAATTTTGTAGTTTGAGATTTTGAAATTTGAAATTTTTGCAGTTTGAGATTTTTGAAATTGAATTTGAATTGGAATTTAAAATTTGAATTTGAAATTTGGGATTAGAAATTTGAATTTGAAATCTGGAATATGAGTGCATTTGAATTTGAAAGATGCCTAAATAAGAAGACTGTAATTGAGGGAAACTACTACATTTCACTCCATTATCTCTATAATCATTTTATTCCCCTATCTTTCTCTCTCTTTATTTGTCTTGGGTATCCTAGATATTGCCTCCTTAATATGATGTTCTTCTCTATGACACTTTGTAATGCATTATCTTCTCTACCTTGATTTATGTACTAATAGGTACAAATTTGTTCTCAGTTTCTATTGCAATATTTTTCATAATTATCAATAAAACAGGGAGATATTTTGATGATATTAATCTGTGTGAAACAAGGGAATATTTTTTCTCTTATAATATTTTTCATAATTATCTATGAAACATGGAGATATTTTGATGATATTAATCTGTCTGAAATAGGGGAATATTTTTTTCTCTTATAATATTTTTTATGATTATCAATGAAACAAGGGGAAATTTTTTTATGAATTAAAATCTGTGTGAAATTCTTTCCTATCTCAAGATTTAACAAGCGGAGTTAAGAGAAGTCTTTGCTCATATGAGTTATGGGGAGTCTTGTTATTAATATATCCAGGGGGAGATTAAGAGACTCTGACACTTGATAAAAGTCTGTGCTAATCTGTGCTAATCTTGAGCTGGCTATATAGAGTCAATCATTTTAATTCATTTCAGGTGTTTCCTTGATCATCATAAAAAAAAGGGGAGATTGAAAGCAATGAGGGGAAGATTGATGGAAATGTCCTTACATTCCCAAGAGATGATTTTGATGATGATTCAAGTCAACTACATTCAAGTCAACACCATTCAAGATGAATTAAGGACAAACTGAATTTATGATATTGGTGAAAATGTGAAACATTTCCCTACATGCCCAAAATATGTTTTTGATAAAGATGATGATTCAAGCAAGCCCAAGATGATTCTTGAAGACTAGATAGAGTCTTAGAATACTGGATATGGAGGTACAAGTTGATGAAGTAATATTATGTATAAGCCTCCAAAGCACAAGTGTGACAAAATTCATAACATGATATTTTTCTCTGTCATAATCAATTATGATGCATCAGAAATGGAAAAATGATTTTCTCTGTCATAATTGATTATACTAGTAATATAATAAATTATGGCAATTCAAATTTGAAAAATATATCCGTTTTAAAGAATAAATGTTTTTTAATACATCTTGATTTTCTCTATGATATTATTAATGTCCAACGACCATTTTCTGATGCTATTTTTCTATTTAATTAATTTTTGATGAAAAATAAAAAACACATAATTACAGAATTCGAAAATTCAATTTACATTCAATCAGTTTTGAGAAAAGAATTATGAGCAAGGCAACAAAGATATTTTACACCTTTTGAGAAAACCCTCTTCTCTACTGTCTTCTGTGCTTTCATTGTTAATCACACTTGTTCTTGGAGATTGACATTCTACAGGCTTCTACAATTTGTTGTCTCTATTACCCAGGTGTGTTTGTTCTTATTTTTATTGCCTTCATCCTTTTTGTATTGGTGAAAAGGAGGTGTTTTTCATCCCTAGTGTGATTTTAGGGAGGTGTTAATCCTTAGTGGGATTCTAAGGAGGTGTTTTCATCCTTTGATTTGTTCAGAGGAGGTGTTCATTCCTAGTGGGATTCTAGGGAGGTGTTCATTCTTAGTGGGTTTCTAAGGAGGTGATTGTCTTTTTAATTAGTTTACTTTTTACTGGTTCTTCTGCTGAGTTGATTGTAATTTGTAAACTGAATTTGAAAGATAGTGAATGGGGAGTCACTCTTGTGTTAAAAGTTGACTGGGAACTAGATGTAGGGTTGACTATACCTGAACCAGTATAAATCTCTATGTATTCTTCTTTTTCCCTTATCTCTTTCTCCTTTCATGATTATATTATTGTTTCCGCTTTATCTTTGTTCAAACAAATTATTGACTCAAAAATAAATTTTTAATTTGACATTTATTTTAATTTGTGCATCTATTCACCCCCTCTAGATGTTATTTGTCTAATAACGTGTTGCTGATCCAAAGAAAGCTTTAATCCCCTCACATACTTCAGCAGCTCAAACATAACCAGGGTGTTCAGTTCGACCAAGAGCAACTGTTAGGATGTCATGCCGACCCTTAGGAGTAAAAGTACCCTAGGTACATTTCTTAACCAAAGAATCTTGCAACATAATCGAATTGTAAGATATATTGTAATTAGGATATAACAAATATTATCAGAAATAAAAAACTAAGTACTTACAATCCGTTCAGTCGTATCACATGACTCTTCAGAATTATATATGCCCGATTTTTTAACTCGAGCCTACTTCAACTTCTCATGACGTTAAGGTGGAGATGTTTGGTTAAGAGTTGAAGCATCTCATGAAGAGGAAAATCGTGTTTTCTCTTTCTTGATCATCATGACTTGTTCAAACTTCCAATAACTCCCATGTGACAATAAGTGAGGGGTCACATAATGTACCTGAATATCGTATGCATTCTTCCTAAGACTATATTATCAAGTACAACTAATGTCATGAATTAGTTAATTATAATTGAAAACAAATGTGAAAACAAAGAAATATATAATTACTTGTCATTTCTCATTTTGCCTCGTCTAAACAAATTGTGTTCATGTTTCTTCATCAATGGTTGTATATTTGGTACAAGGATTTTCATTGCTCCTTGCACCAAATATATAATTAATTGTTAGTTTAGACTTAAATTGATGCCATTTTGTTGCCACCGAAGAAAGAACCTTTGATCTCAATGTCCCTAGAGATATCATAATGTGTCTCTTAACAAAGACAAAGGTGTTAAGACTATATAATTAGGCAAATTATAAAAGAAAGAAAGAATTAATATATATTAAACTGTTTATCAAGATATCTTGCCAAATAATGTTTCTCTCAACCTCAATAACATGATCCCAAGATGAGACTAAAATAGAAATCTTCTCGCGAGCTAATACACCAATGTAGCTATTAAAAGACTCAACATTGGGTCTAGAGGCTACACTTGTATGAACGTCAATAGTAAAAGGTTTCCTTTAACCACTACCATGTCTAAGTGAGAGGGACCTCAACCTAGTAGCTCCTCCGCTAGACTTCTTGGTCGTTTTCTCTAACTCAGGAGGCAATCCTTCAGTATCAGACATTTTCCTATTAAAAAATCAAAAGAAATTGTTCCATACAATTAATAATTATAAGTATTCAAATAAAATAAACAAAATTAATATATATTCATACATATGTCAAATTGTTTTATTGTGCAAATAATTACAATTCTTTCACTTCTTTCTTGTACACATCAATATGCAGGTACAATCAATCCAACTTTTATCTATTTGTAGATTCTGTAATACATACACAACTACATAATTCTATTAATAATACAATTTGTCGGGGATCGAACATCCCTAGACTCAACACAAATTTGTTCAAAAATATTTCATATCATTATCAATCATCACAAAATCAATCCATACATTAATCAAAATAGAATAACTACTTATTGGAGAGGAACAATACAATGTCTCACGGACTGCCACCAATCAATGTTAACCACTGTTGAATTATTGGAAAACGTACCAAAATTATCAATCGCAGTATATTATTTCGATTAAATAAAAGTCGATCCCACGAGGAACGATTTCAATAAAAATTCTCAATTCTATTCTTACTAAGTGGATTAAAAATAATGAGTTTTGCATAAAAAGTTGAATTAAAATTAAATGACAAAGAACTGTAAAATTGTTTAGAAAATATCAATTAAAGACACTTAGGATTGACTTCCTTCCTTTTCCCTCTTTTGCAATGACTATGTTCAATTAAGATCATCAATTAACCTAACAATGTTGATGTCACCTACTCAAATCATCCATGTTGATTCCTCACACATGAAACTCATAAGAAAACCTAATAAATGTTGATTCCTCATACAATTAAGAGATTTTCCAATATTAGGTTTAGGTTGTTAAGCAATTGATATATTCACTCTATTCCTGATAATTAATGTAACAAATATTCTTACCAAGATCTAGGGTTCAAGATATATTTTCCAATCATATCCCAAACATCAAGAATAAATCATTCCAAGGCACAAAAGATAAAAATAACAACATCAAAACATAGATTAATATCTCAAAATATCACCAAGATACAAAAGAGTTCAAAGGAAGTGCACTCAATCCCAAGAGAATGAAGTTAGTCACTCATGGTGACCATTACAATGCTCCAAATGAGGAAGAAGTGATGAATTGATGAAGATTGAACGAAACCCTAGCAGTAGTCGCGCTTCTTCTCTCCAAAAACGCCCCCTCTTTCTCAAACACATCTTATCTTTTTATAGGAGAATTTGGGTCTCGCATCTTTCACTCAAGCGAAAACGTTCGCTCAAGCGAAAGTCCAGTATTTTCGCTCAAGCGAAAGTCCAGTATTTTCGCTCAAGCAGAAAAATGTTTGCTAGAGCGACTGAGTTCCAGAGAAATTTAACTAATTTTCGTTCAAGCGAGAGTCTATCTCGCTCGAGCGACTTCCATGTTGAAAATCTTCTTTCTCTTTCCCGTTTTTGCTTCAATTATGTTGACAATTATACTCCTTGCTCTTGTATCAAGGTATTATCGAATTCATCCTACATTGGAAGATAAATAGATTAGAATTGACATAAGTTAACTGATTTCATAAAAATGTCTCACGAACTGCCACCAATCAATGTTAACCACCTAGGAGCATGATCAGCGAGAGGGAGCGAGCCACACGCCAAGCGAAGGAGGTGTGGTGCGAGGTGGAGGAGGCGCAGAGGTGCAGGAGCAATGTGGAGGGGCAGGGCACGACACGGAGGGAGTGGCGAGGAGCATGGAGCAAACCAGAGGTGCACGGTGCAACTGAGAGGGAGAAAATGAGACGAAATGGAGGGAGGAGATGTGAGGGACGAAAGAGAAGTCAACAAAAGTAAATGAGGAGGTGAGCGGGAAAATATGTAATGAACATTCAACGATGCTTATTTAATGATTGTTGTTATATGTCTTTTACGATGATGGTTATTATATAACCATCGTCATATATCTCCTATGATGATTATTATGTAAGTGTTATTATATAGTTGTCTTTATTTTAAAAAATCTTAGTGCAACACCTATGATGGCTCCAAAATGACCATCGTTAAAAAAGTATCGTTGTTTTCAATACACTATTTTCACTTATTTATTTTCTCATTTCACTAATTAATATATATATTCACTTTATTCTTGTTTTATTTCATTTTTTAATTATTTTCACTTTATTTTTATCTTTGTATATATTTTGATTTATTTATTTTATTTTTATTTTTTATTCTTTTCACTTTTTCCCTAAATACACAATGTAATAATTCCTGTCAACTTTCTTAGTATATCACATCGTGTTTTTAATCCGATATTAAAAAAACTAGTGAAATTCTATTTGAACGTTAATAATTAATTGAGAACTTAACTTTATTTAATATGAGTGAAATAACTTCATAAATAAATATTTTTTATGAAAACATAATTAAAATAATCTTAAAAATAATATATTTTAAAAGAAAAATTATTCAGATAAAATATATATAAATTTATTTATTCAAATAGATTTATTTGTTTATGTAAATTTTCAAATAAATTTTAAAAATAATATATTTAAAAAATTATAATATAACAATAATAATTATAACATATCAAATTTATCATATAATATTTTTTATATAATATATTAAATTATAATATTATTATTTAAATATATTTATTTTTCAATAATAAATATAATAATAAATTCGGTTATCGTATTTCAATATATTATTTTTAATTAAAAAATAAGATAGAATAATTAAGAAAAGAAAAAAAGAAAAAAATGAGAAAAGAAAACAATAATTATATTATGTTAAATAAATTTATTTTTTTATTAAAATTTGTGTATGAATAATAAATAGGTCTAATTAAATAATATTTTTAAAAATATTTTATTTAATTTTTTTAAAATATATTATTTAGTACATTAATTCACATAATTCCGGTAAAATATATAAAATACGGTACATAAAATTTTAAACAAAATACAAATATTTATATTTAATTATTATTTTAATATAAATATTTGTTTTTTTATGACTTGTGTTGAGAAAAAAATTCTAATATTCTATTTGTATCAAGTTTACATTTCTGTATATTATGAATTTATCTGATTTTATGTTATGACAATTTAAATTTTGATATGATTTATGTATATATCATTAACTTAATTTTAATATAATTTATTTTAATTGCTATGGTCATCAGTATAATTTTTTTTACTTAAAATTATGATTTTTAAAATTTAAGACTGAGGTTATCTGTGAATACAGTAGAGACGGAGATGGAGAGGGAGATGGAGATGAGAGGTAGAGAAGATATAGAGATCGGTAGAGACTTAACTCCAACACTCACTCCTCTCTCTTTCTCTCTCCACGATTCTTATCTCCACTCTCACTGCTCTGCCTGTTTCTCGCCTCTTTCCAGCCCTTTTCCATCCACTCCCAATCCCAATCCCCTCCTCTACTGCTCCCCTCCCTGCTCCGTCGCCCTCTCCCCTCTCCACTACTCCTCTTCCGAGCGCTACCTCCCTTCCTCCGCCCAATCCTCCCACCTTCGCGCTGCCCTTCGCCTCCTACGCTCCCGTCGCCCCTCCCCCTCCCCCTCCGCCCGCCTCGCCGGCCTACTCTCCAACCGCCGCATTCTCACCTCTCATCAAAAACCTCCCCTCTCTGATGGTGACGACGACGACGACGTTACGGAGAGGATCAGGCTCGGTGCCGGTGCCATGGCTGAAGCCATGTCCAAGCAACGCGCCGTCCCGAACGACGACGCCGTTTTGGAGGAAGCTACGGTTGCGTTATGCGCGGTTCTAACGAACGCCGTGGAGGTGCACGATAACGAAGGCCGCGCCCTCGGAATCGCGGTTTACGATACTACCTTCTCTTGGATCAACCACAGCTGTTCCCCCAACGCATGCTACCGTTTCCTCCTCTCTTCTTCTTCCTCTTCTCATTCCGAAGAACCCCATCTTCGCATTGCCCCACACCCACAACAAGTGAACTACTCTTTCTCTTCTACTCCGTTATGATACTTATTTTGCTTCTCTTGTTTTCGTTTGAGACTATAATTGTGTTTTGCAGATGGGCAGTAGTGGGGTTTGTGTTAGCAGTAATGAATATGCAAAAGGTTGTCATTGTTGTTTGCTTCATTGTTTAATACGTTTACCCTTTGAAAAATTGAAAACTAATGAATGCGATTTTGTGCAAGATAACGTAGAGGTTCTTGGTTATGGCCCTAGATTGGTTGTGAGGAGTATCAAGAAAATTAAAAAGGGAGAAGAGGTCACTGTAGCCTATACGGACATCTTGCAGCCTAAGGTCTGATTCAAATTATTTTAATTATTCATGCGCTGTTAAAATAATTTTACACTCTCAACAATTAAAATTCACCCTATGAATAATACAAAAGTCAACAATCAATTGAAAATTACACTCTTAATACTTGTTAAAACAAATTAACAACCTTATTACAAGAGTCAACAATCTTACCTATATAAGATGTTATAATCTAAGAAATAGCTTTATATTTATATTGAATTTTGTTATTATGGGAAAAAGAGGCCTTCCATGCCTCTCTGTAGGAAATTAGAGGTAAAGGTTAAATAGGAAATGATAGTGTACCGTTATTTTGAGTTTGGACTTTGTATTTTATTTATGTTATAATTCAGAAGTTAATGCACTCCCTTGGGGGAGGGGAGGGGATTGCTAATTATTTATTCCTTGGCTGTGTGCAATCTCTGGTTTTATGGATGAATTGCAGCATCTTTGTTGATGGACACGCTGTAGCTTGTCACAAATAAAATTTTAGGATACTTTCATTTGTAGTACCGAGAAATCACTGCATATCTTGTGTTTGTCTTTTTCCATCATTAATATCTCCCCTTGGAAAGAATGTTTGATTGAAAACCAATGATTTCTTTTAAATATAAAATCTATTCCCTCCCTGATTGGCATACATGAACTACTTTTTTAATTGTATTGTGTATGATATTATATTTTTATCATATGAATTACATAGGAATATAGCAATTTGGGAAATTGTCACTTAAAAGCTAAGTTATCTGGTAAATCATAAATGTAAACATGTTCCTCATTATAATTAGTTTGTCTCGGTTTTTTATTTTTGTCCTGGTTTTTTCTTGACGCTTTATTGAGTACTTTCACTTTCTTTGTTGATCAGTTCTATTGACCACAACTTGTATTTTTTCTTTTCTAGGCAATGAGACAGTGGGAGCTATGGTCAAAGTATAGGTTTATTTGTTGTTGCGAACGATGTAGTGCTCTGCCTTTATCATATGCCGATTATGCATTGCAAGTAGGTCTTTGAAATTGATATTCTGTTCTTGGTTAAGCCAGCCTTTCCCAACATTTTGTGCTACTTACCCACATACACTTTTATTTTCCTTGTCAATATGCAATTTTCATAGAAATATTTTTCAATTGCTAAACTTGGGAAGTGCAATGACTTACTGTTATTATTACTGACATTGGACAGCCTAACATCATGGTCAATTTATTTTTTAGGAAATCTCTGTTTTCAGTTGTGATTCAACGGGTTCATATTCCAAGTTCCTGAAAGACATGGCTGATAGAAGATTGACTGAGTGCATTGATGATGTCATATCAGAGTATCTTTCAGTTGGTGATCCTGAGTCTTGTTGTGACAAGCTTGAGAAGATACTCATGCAAGGCCTGAATGAGCAGTTAGAAGACATTAACGGAAAATCAGATTATAAATTCACGCTGCATCCCCTAAATCATCATTCTTTAAAAGCATACACAGCACTGGCTTCAGCATATAAAGTTTGTGCTAGTGATTTATTGTCTTATGATTCTGAAATAGATATAAACAGGTTCAAGGGTTTTGACATGAGCAGGATCGGTGCTGCATATTCTCTGTTACTTGCAGGTGCAACCCATCATCTCTTCAATTCTGAATCCTCACTGATTGCATCTGTTGCAAATTTTTGGATAGGAGCTGGTGAATCTTTGTTATCTCTAATCAGAAGCTCTGGATGGAGTAAGTGTTTTAATTTGGGTCTGATTGTTCCAAACCTTAATTCAGCCATTAAGTTCAAATGGTCGAAGTGTTCATTAATTGATAGGATTAGAGCCTGTATATCAAATGGCCAAATTAACAGTGCAGATTTTGAGAATGTATCAAATGAATTTCTTTGTTGTGTCTCAGATATTACACAGAAAGTTTGGGGTTTCCTTATCTCTGATTGCCATTTTTTGAGATCATGTCAAGATCCTATCAATTTCAGTTGGCTCAAGTCTACCAAAAATTCCAGTACTATGCATGTTGAGGGTTGTGTTAAAAATAGTTACAAAACTGACATGTGTTACACCCATGAACCTGAAAACAGCATCTATATTTGTGAAGAATCAACCTGCACTGATGGTGTAGAATGTGTTTTACAGCTTGGTGTACACTGCTTAGCTTATGGGGGATTGTTGGGCAGTATTTGTTATGGTCCCCATTCCCATGAGGTTTGTCGTGTTCAAATTGTTCTAGACCGTGAAGAGAATTTTGTATTATATTCTCATGAAGAATCTTAAAAGTTCAACCTTGTTGTGAAGGGATCCTATGTCAACACTAATCTTGACTTTATTTTAGCTTGATACCTGTTAATGAATAAAATATTAAGATGAAGTTGACCTTTTTACTTGGGACGGGTAGGTATCCAGAAGCCTGATGCATTATGGGGAATGCATCGGAGAAGAGACAGAGATATACGGTTCATTACAGCATCATAGGGAGTAAAATGGTGGACACAAGCTTAAATGACCATTGTAGAAGAAATGGTATTCGGCCAGCTCTTCTGAGTGTCTCTTAACCTTTCACTTTTAAGAAATGGTATTGTTTTGACATGGGATTAGGGGCAGTTATGATAGTTATGGAAGAAATTAGGAGTGTTTACTGGGTTCAATTATGTATTTCAGCAGTTATTTTATAATTCTGATGGTAGAGAATGATTCATTTTTTAGGAGCAGTTTATATGTAAAATTTGTATATAAAATGTCCCGTAAGAAGACCAGCAGAGTGTTTGATAGTTCTTCTGACAGAATTTTTCTTTGTAAGAATATTTACAACTCCGGGGCTGATTTTACTGTTATTTTCTGTTTAATCAATTGCCTAAATCTCAAATTTCAGTGTTCCGGCATTTTCTTTTGAATGGTCATGATAGTTTTCATGATTGCCTTGATGCCGGCAATTTGTTAGTAAAGGCGTGGTAAAGAACGGTATTGTTTAGATGGTTGAACATTGGAAACTGTTTATAGAGTTTACATTGTATAACAACCAAGAGATGATGAACTCTGTAACAGAGCAGAGTGCAAGTAGCAGATCACACCTGAATCTGTGATAAAGGTTTGAAAGTTGTAACAAACAAGCAAGTTGTGTAACTAAGTTTTCTCAAATACTTGTTATGAAGATATGATTGTTGCTTTTAACTTTTGAGGCAAGTGTTGCATCATGTTCAAACAAATCATGATTATCCTTAGAGAGAAAACACTCCATTGAATGGGTAGAATGAAATAATATGAGCTCCATTCCCTATATATAATGAATAAAATTAATCGAGTGGAATGGAAGATATTGGAATCTTATAAACATCAAAATACTTTGAATATATATATATATATATATATATATATATATATATATATATATTGAATAGTATAAAAAAGTAAATTTTAAATGTGGATAAAATTGTGTTTGGTATGTATTGTTCAGCTAGTGGTATTTTTTTTATAGGAGAGTGAAAATATCTGTGGCATGCCCGTTACACGTAAAAACCGCAGTAGACTTCCGACACTTATATTATATAATAGATTTGTATTTCTTTATTTATTTATTTTAAATTATAAGAAAATATTTTTAACATTCTCTACATAATTTAAAATAAAATAAAATATTTGTGAAAGATAATTTATAAAAAAAATAATTTTATAATTCAGGATAAAGAATCTTTAGGATTTAAGTCTCTTTTATATATATATATATATATATATATATATATATATATATATATATATATATATATATATATATATATATTATATGAACTTCTATCTTCCTAAGAGACTTAATTATCTTTTCTTTATCAGATTTTAGTAATAACATATACAATATAAATATTCACTTAACTTCTATTCTAATCAATAGTTGCACTTTACCATTATTATATTCAATAGGTGAATCTTTCAAAGGTAGTTTGTGACTCACCTCTAAAATAATTGTTATTAAATTCATTAAGAGGCATTTTAAGTATAATTATATACATATCTTAATCTTGTTATTCTCATAACTTAGAGCGCACCAAAGAGACAAAATTTATTCAAATCAAATCCTGTACTTCATGTTAACCATTAAACTTCATTCATGAGATCACCATTCAATTGAAGTTGAGTTTCCATTATTATAACTTGGTTTATGAGCTTTAAAAATGCAATTTTAACATTTGATGAATTTTCAATTAAAAATACAAACAAGAACAATTAAGGCTCTAATAACAGTAACTTTAAAAGAAGTGAATAAGTATATAAAAAAAAAAGTTACACCTTCTACTTCCAAACAACCAATATCAACAAGCCTAGTTTTAAATTTACCAATAGATCCATAGGTTCTTAGTTTTTTTTCTAAAAATCGATTTACAACCAATACTTTTACAACCAAGAGGAAGATCCTTTAAATTTGAAGTTTTGTTTTCTTTAAAAGAATTCATTTTGTTATTAATAGCTTCTTTTCAAAAAGGTGCATCGATAGTTATCATGACTTCACCACAAGATTTAGGATCACCCTTAAGAAAAAGGAACAAAAAACCAAGATAAAATTGAACGCTAGAGGTTTCACTCGGTGTAGATCTAACTCGGAAAGAAGATAATAATTCTAACTCGGTGCAGATCTATCTTATGTATTATTGTTTACTTTGATATAAATATATTATTATTATTATTATAATTTAAAACAAAACAAAATAAATAAATAAAATTAAAATGTGATATAAAATAACACAATTTTGATAAAATAACATTTCACCCCTTAGAAATCTATATTTGTTGTACCACAATTTCTGAAGTATTAAATATTGATATATACACTTTTATGTAAATTTATAAATGACTTGTCAAAATAATAATTTTTTTACACAAAATCTAAATTAATAAAAATCTTTTTCAACTTTCGTAATTTAATCATTTCATATATATGATTTTAGTAATTAGTAGAGTTATTTCAAGAAAAATATCATCTAACAGTTACGTATTTAACTTAACATTCCAAATATAAGGATATATAATTAATTTCATTAAATAAATAAAAAACTCCTTTAAAGCCCATAATGCTGTGAGAAGATTTTTTTTAGTTTTTTTTTTATAAAAGTGGTTGAGTAAAAATTGAGAGTGTTGAGCGGACACACATATGTGCGACTCGTTCAGATTGAATACTAAAAAAAAAAAAACAATTCAATTTTTTTAGTATTGGTAATCGGTTAAGATAGTGTGAATGCGAAAACTACATTCACACTATCTTAACTTATCTTATATATAATTCTTTACATTCTTCTATCTCGTATCAAATTTATGATTTCGATTGGTGTAAAATCAATGAGAAGAATTTGCAATTTAAGATGAGAAGGAGTTTCCCATCGGTAACAAAAAAAAGTTACCTGTTAAGCGGAGAAAATACAATTTCAAATCAAAATAAAGTATATCCTTAATAATTTGGATGGATTTTGTAAGAATGGATATATATATATATATATATATATATATATATATATATATATATATATATATATATTATTTGAGAAATAAATTGTCGTCATTGATTTAATATCTTAGATCTATTATTAGTTGAGCAAATAAATTATGTAAATACTTTTAATATTTGTTTTACTTAAATTTTAACTAAGTAAAATGACAGAATGTTGAACCAAATTTTCTTAAGATTAAACCCTTGTTATTATCCTAAATTTGTTGGACAAATTTAAAAGTATACCAAGCAAAATTTAGACATTAAATTCATATATGAAAACCAATTCACCAAATTAAATCTATACAACAATGTAAAACATTATCATTTTCAATCTTAAAGAACTCAATATTCAAACTCAATTATAATCAATACACAATAAATACATATAATCACATAATTTAATTGTTTTATAATTCAAACAATATGATCAAGTTATTTTCACAATATAAATCTTCTAGCCTATATGAAAATTACATAATAACTAGTTTTCTTCACCTCAATTACAATACCTCAAAGCTAAAACTTTCTAAAATTTTTAGAGGTCAGATATTACTCACAAAAAATCTCAAGTAATAAATTAAACATACCATAATGCTCTTAAACTAGTTAAGATTTATTTTTTTAAAATAAAATGTATATCTAAGCACCATAATCTCCCATGCAATCCTAATCTCCAATATGCAAAATTATGCTTTAAAATTAAAAAAGAGAAAACTTGCTTTATTTAAAATTCTAACAAGACAAAAATTATCTCATCTACTCCAAAAACACTAAGACATACTTAGATTTAGAAAAAGATGAAAAAAAGAGTAAGAAAGCTAGAGAGAAGCCATAGAAATGGAATTATAGAGAGGTGATAGTTTTATAAGAATGAAGTTTGAATGATTGAGATTTTCTATTTATTACTCTTTTAACTTAACTCGTAAAAATTTAAAATTTATCTATTAAATCACTTCTACCCTTAACTTACTAAAGTTGGGTCCTCACATTAATGATATTGAAATAATTTATAAAATTCATTATCAAGTTCAAATAAATATTTTTTAATTAAAATAATTTAATAAAAAATTTCTCATATAATTATATACCTGAGAGTAACATTATTTCTCGTAATATCTTAATTAATTATATAGTGACAATATTTATAAATATAAATATATGCGAGTTTTACTTACATTATAAAATAGTAAGCATAAATATTTAGAAGTTTACCTACTATAAAATATATAGTAGCACTTTTTTTTTTAACTTACATCATGTATATACTTTTTTTTTCTTACCTCATATATAATAATATGATAAGACTTTATTTACTACACACAATATATAATAATTCATTTTTTAACTCCACCTCCATGTTAGGTCTTTCGAGGAGGATTCAATAGGAAGAAACAACACATTAGGACATGAGTCCAACCCACATAAGAGATTGACAATATCCTCAACCCAAAACCTTAAGACATTGAGTTTTTCTTTTTTATATATTACTCAACTTTCTCATTCTTACATAATGTGAAACTTAAACTCAACATTTAGATTTCTCAACAATATCCCCTCAAGTGTGATTCCTTTTACATTGATATATCTCCTCAAGCTCACTAGTGACCCTTATTGTCGTTCATTACAACGGGACATGTTTACCTGACTCACTATCAAGAAAACTTTCGATACAAGGATCATTATTAAATTATTGGTTACCACACAAATTATCGGTTTTGATACCACTATTGGGTCTTTCGAGAAGGATTCACTAGGAGAAACAACATCAATGAGACATGAGTTCAACCCATATAAGAGATTGACACTACTTTTAACCAAATACCTTAAAACATAGGGTATGGGTCTTACATCCTTATATGTTATTCAACTTTCTCATTCTTACTTAATGTGAACTTAGACTCTTGGATTTTTCAACACCCCACACACAAATATATAATAATTCATCCATCTTCCCCACCTAATGGTAGCTCAAGTTATAAATTTTAAAAATTTCATCCATCTTCTCCACCTAATGTTTAACTCTTTCTATATCAAACATGTAAATTTCAAACTCTTGGTTGTTGAATACTTCAAATCGAGCACTGCAAATTTAACACCTCCACATCTTGAGAGTAAAGATCACGAGTCTTTAATTGTTAGGATGCATAAGAACCAAATTTGTTCTCTTGCATCAAGACACAATCCAATCCTTGATACGAGAAATTACAAAAAAACCTCCAAAGGGTTTATATATATTAGGTATTACCAACAATAGAGAGCTAGTTAACTTTGACTTTGACCCCCCAAAAATTTATTCACACTAATGTGTCCAAGCAAATGAATATTCTATGTGGTGCAATTGTGTCAAAGGTGTTACTATCTTAGACCTTCTATGAACATCTTAGTGTAACCAACCCAACCCACAATACTTTTAATCTTTGTCATTATCTTAGGAAGTACCCATTATAACATTGTTTCAACCTTTGTAAAGTCTACAAAAATCTCATGTGTGAAGGTCACATGTTCCAAAAATTACATTTATCCACCCATAATTCACATTTTGACAATTTGGTGTATACTTGATTTATTTTTATAATACAAAACATTTTCTCATCTGTTCATGATGCTCTATAGAAGTACAAGAATAGATAAAAAAGTTGTCTATAATGACCACGACAAACTTTTCCAAAAATAGTTGAAATATCATATCCATGTAATCAATGAATATAGCTAGAGCATTTGTTTCCAAAGGATATTACCACATACTTATAGTAGTCACATCTATATTTGAAGATATTTTTCTACATTTTCATTCTTCATAAGAATTTGATGGTATATTGATATTAAATAAAGCATTAAGAATGTCATTGTCTATATAACTGATATAATAAGTGATCTATTTTTAGTAAAGATATTTGTTCTAAATGATCAACTTATTCCATTGTTATAATCAATGTACAATATAGAACTTTCATCATTCTTCCTTACTAGTATATAGGTACTTCTCATGGAGACTCCAATCAAATAAATTTTTTCTTTCACATATCTTTAACTTGCTTCTTTAATTCTACTATCTCATTTAAGGTCATTCTATTAGGAGTTATGGATATTGATCCCTATTCTAAAATCAAATCAATTGAAAACTTCACTTCCCTCTTAGGTGGTAACCTTGGAACTCCATAAGAAAAAAAGACATTTAAAAACTATTGGACCACCAGAATGTCACTTTTGTGTCCTCCTTTAATTATTTTCCATCTTGATTAAGGGTGTCAATACGAGTTGTAACCCGTGAACCAACTTGGTTCACCATGGGTTTAAGTCAGGTTGAGTTCGATTTATTTCATTTTTATTGATAATGGGCTAAAAATAAACTCGACTCACTTAATCCAAGGGTGAAACGAGGTTTGAGTCAGGTTACGGTGGATTGACTCACAACCCAACATTTATTTTAAATTTTAAAAATAATTATAATAATTCAAGTAATTCTAATTGATGTTATTGCGTCTCTCCACCTCTAATCCATGTTACTGTTACAAGTCAAACTCTTACTCAAGTTTGTAATTAGTTGACCGTCACACCATTTTGTTTGTCATTGCACCTAAGTCATTTGTCATCCGTCCATTGCATCATTATGTCACTGGGTTCATTGTGTTTACTATGTTTCAATCACATCACAACATTTGTTATGTCACCATGTCGTCGTGTTTTAGTCACATTACAACATTTATCATGTCATCGCACTATCGCATTTGCCGCACCACTATATTTATTGCACCATTGCACCACCACATTACCTAGGATCCTTACAATGCAATTATATATATATATATATATATATATATATATATATATATATTAAAAAAATTAAAGAAAAAAATAAATATGAGTTAATGAGTAAAGCTACCTTACTTACCAATGCGTATTGGATTGAGTCGAATTGTGAAATTTTTTCCTCACCCTAAAATAAGTCGGGTTGATTTAGTTTCACACCCATATTCTAATTGAATCAAAATCATCTCCATCTCTTTAGGATTTACGTTTCTTTGTTTTTTAATAATTAGTTCATCCCAAAATAATTTGCAAATTTTGAAATGGTAAATTTATCAAATTTATCTTAAATTTATGTGGCTTAATTACATGAATAAATTAAGAAGGTAACCATAAGGCTAATGTTATGTAGATGCTATAAACTCAAATGGAAGTTAAAAAAAGAAAAAGAAAGAAAAACATTTTTTCGATAGACAAAACATAATGTCTCTCTAGAGTCGTACAAAACTTTGTTGAATTTTGTGGCCTCTGTCCATTCAAAGCATAGACCTGACCCTGGGTTTGCATACTTCTCCTTGTGCCACGAAGATATACCCCTTGATGTTATTAGAGTCATCTTCCTGAAGTCACAATCTTTGGTCCTATGAAAAGGTTTGGGGGGGCATTGGGATTGATAATGAAATCCTCCGCATTTAAAGCATTTTACACTCATCTGCTACTACAACTGATACTGCTACTGGGTAGTACACTTGTCTTGTTAAGACCACAAATAAGACTTCTTTTGTTCTGTCTTTCTCGTCCTTTGGTATTGTTTATACATATGGATATGAGGTGTACAAAGAAAAGTGAAATTAAAATTATTTGAATTATAGGAATGATTGTAAAAAATATAAAAAAAAAATGAGGGAAAAATTTGTGAAAGTTTAGAAGAGTTGATAGATATAAATGATAAAAAAATATTTTAATAAAAGATTAAAAATAACCAAATTATTATTAAATAAAAATTATTATTATTAATATAATTTAAAATATTATAATTATTAATATGATTATTATTGTCATAATTATTTTACTCGATATTATTATTAATATAATAATAATAATTATATATTAATTATTATATTTATATAAATTATTTTTATTTTAATTATTTTTATAGTTATAATTATTATAATTTTTATTATTAAAATAATTATTAATATTATTATTTATATATTATATAATATAACTCACGTCTCACTTTTCGCGACTTTCTTAAAAAATTATTTTTTGAAAAATTTAAATTTCCTACATTAGAAAATCAACTTTTCCCTGTAAATCTCCGCTCCTAATCTTTCCGTCTTCGGATTCAAACAGAGGCTTAATCCGAGTCACCATACTCTCTCCACCTTTAACTCCTTCGTTGTCATAACTTTGTCCACCAAAATTAAAAACTATCACCAACATAGGCCCCACCATCTTATTTTATTAAAATAATTTTACTAAATTAATATTTATTCATTAAATAATTAATATATTAATTTTTATTAACTAATACAGAAACACATTAATGATAAATTTTTATTAAGGATTTTTTAATATTTTTTTATTTGTTAACTTTTCGACAGATGTTAATTTTATTAAAGTTTAAACAATATTGTTGACAGATAAATTTTACGCGTAATTTTTTTCTCATTGAATATGCGACAAATTTGTCATAACGAGCACGACCTTTTTTTCCTACTACAATAAATGTATGTTAGATTTTATTTTAATCTACCACAATAATCAACACATCTGTGCCATATTCAGCCCTTGATTTCAGATTTTGATTAGTCTTCCGTAGAGCGATCCATAATTCATAGAAATGGACCTCAAACAAATTAAAACATATTTAATTTTAATTTCATTGCTTTTTATTATTATTATTATTATTATTTTATTTGTTTTTGTAAAAGTGGAGATTAAGAAATTCTTGATGATGTCTTTTTTGTATGAAAAATTCTCGATGAGGTTAGGTTCTACCTATTGAATAAAGCTTCACTTATTATTATAATTTAAATCATGACGTGACTATGTTGTGTTTTCTTAGTCAATGAATTAAATCACGCTTACAAATAATATAGATTATGTATATAAGGTAAATATTAACTATTTAATTTAGATTATTGTGAACTGTTAAAGTTTAAAATAAATTAATAATTTCTATATAAATTGTTTTTTAAAGTAAAGATCTTTTCAAACTTTATTTTTAAAGTAAACTTTTTGCTTAAAAAAAGCTTGGCTCAAGAGTTCTTTATAGGTATTTTGTAGATATTTTAATTTTATAAACTTTTTTTATTCTGTTTCTAACCTTGATCCACCTCAGAATTAACTTTGTATGAAAGTTAAACTCTGAATTGAATTAGCTTGACATTTGTATGAATATTTAGAGATCCAGATTTGTAAATCTTTCATAAAATAATTTATTATGGCCTACAGAGAGAGGTGTACCTAACCAACCAATCACAAAAGGTTAACATGATGATGACCAATTATAAATAGAACACCTAAGCAGTCCAACTCTCCCATCACACCTCAAACCCATTTTCCCAAATTCCTCAATCTATCCCTTACAACCACCATGGCTGAGGAGCACCACCACCACCACCTCCTCCACCACCACAAGGAGGAGGTGCCTGGTGAGGTTGATTACAAGAAAGAGGAGAAGCATCACAAGCATCTTGAGCACCTTGGAGAACTTGGTGCTGCTGCTGCTGGTACCTATGCCTTGGTAATTTTATCTATCTTCCTTCATTCAATTCTGCTTCTATATAGTTTCTTGAGGTAATTCCCACCCCCTGTATTTCACCTTCAAATATTTAAGCTTCACCAAATAACTAAATGATGTTTAAACACTTTATACACCAAAGGGGAATATACCTCCCACATCATGATGTTTGTCTGAAGAAAATAGTCTCAGGAAACAGTTGACTGAGTTTTGCTAAAATTGTCAACTTTTTGATTTAGCATGAGAAGCACGCGGCAAAGAAAGACCCAGAACATGGTCACAGGCACAAGATAGAAGAGGAGATTGCAGCAGCTGCTGCTGTTGGTGCTGGTGGTTTTGCGTTCCATGAACACCACGAGAAAAAGGAAGCCAAGAAAGAAGACGAGGAAGCTCATGGAAAGAAGCACCATCATCTCTTCTGAATCAACATCATAATATAATATTCAAGCTCAGAACTATATATATATCATCATGCATGCGTGTGCCTCTATTTCTTTGCCATTTTCCAGTGTCTTAAAATAACTTCTGAGCGCGTTTGAAGAGTGTTTCATTACTTTATCTATTTTATGTACATGTGCCTTATGTTGACTATGTTAATAATAATAATATGGTAAAGTGATTTGAGATTAGTTTATCTTCTTTATGCCCTTTTCCTTCTTAGAAAAATATATATACAATAAATTAAATATTTTTTTCCTAAATATATTGGTTATAGAAAAATTTCATCGAATAGAGATATAATATAATATAAGCTTTAAAGTTTAACAAATTCTCCATCCAACTCAAATGGAGAGATAAACCAAACCAACAGTCAAACAAGGAGCTTCCAAATCTCTACTGTGATAATAATGAGACCAACTAAAAGTCTTTCACATTAAAAAATATCGCAAACCACTCACTACTACTATGAAGAAAAGGTAGAAATCACCAGATGTAACAATCATCAATAATAACTCACAATGCAGAACATAAATGATCCCAAAAGATGAAAAAGCAAAAAATGATAAAAAGAACCACAACCACAAAATAATAAATTTGAAACATAATACCAAAACCAGAACAAGTATGATTGAACACGCCAAAAAGATATCTTATTTTGAGCAAATTCTTTCCACTAAAAGCAAGATATGGAATAATGGTGAGATTCAAAGTTTTACGTCACTAGACATGAACGACAAAACTAAACGACAAGTTCTCAATGCATGGTATACTACATTGAATGTTTGTTGTGAAACTTGAATATGGTGTTTATGACTCAAGTAATTTTACTTCTGTTTGAAACAAGTGTTACTGTGATTTTAAAATCCATAATTCGTTTATATAAGAATTATAGTGTGATTAATATAAAAGAAGGACATGAAGTCCAATTCCCTAAGGTAGTATATTAGATTCAAAAATGGAATTTGAGTTATTATGTTTTTTTTTTTTTTTTGCAAATAATGTTGGTTCGATCTCATAATATCATAAGATTAACAACCTAAAATAATGTTCACTTTGATATTTAAATTTTATTTTTAATAAATAACTAAAAATATAATATTTATCAACTATCCTTAATTTTAACTCAAGTCATGACAAAACTTATTCTTAATTTTAATTCAAGCTGTCTCAAGTTTTTTCAACGACATACTTACTAATAATCATTACAATTTGAAAAAAATATAATAATGTGAAAATAATTAATTCACCACATCACTACAATTTTAAAAAAGAAAATAAAGAATGTGAAAGTGATTAGTTCCCCCGACAATTAAGGCTTTTTCATACTCTTCAGACTATTGAAAGATAATTTTATAAGGATTAAAAATGACTTTTCAACATATAAAATTCAGTTAACCTATTACTAGACATTTTCACAATAAAAGTATAATTGTAAATATTCTCATAAGAGTCTTATTATATATAATTCAATAACAATTTTCACGATCAATATATATAATTATTCAAATTTTTATTTTTGAGAAATTAGTTAATAATAATAAGAATAATAATAAATCATTTCTTATTCTAATGCTAACGTAACGGGATCCGAAATTAGTGACATTGTTTCTTCATCTTCACATAAATTGGAAAGATAATGCCATCTTTTGAAGTTAGGAGAGTGTGAATATAAGGAAGTCCCAACTTGTGTTTAAGTATAAAAGAATTAATTATCCTTTCCCAACTTTAAAGACAAAAATAATGACACAAACAAGTGTTTATTTAAATTAGTTTGCAACACGATTTATTTGTTTCATCTTGTCCTATGACAAATATTTCTTAAATGATTGGACAAGAGACTAATTATTTATAAAACTATTTATATTTTTGTACATATAACTCTTATATAGAAAATAAATAAATAAAAATATTATCTTATTTTTTGGATAAGTAAAACAAATTTCAAAAGGTATCTTGGAGATGAGATCTTTTATATATATTCCTTAGTGTCACGTATGAAAAGAAAATCTTGTTCAATGTTGGGTTATTATGAGATTTTTATTAATTTTAAAATTTGAGATATAGAATTTAATTTTTTTATATTATTATTTTACATATCTTGAGAGTTATTATACCAAAACTTGATTAGAGATGTTGATTCTTCTCCTGATACAAAAACTTAAAAGATATTATATTTATGATCTATGGTCAAGATTCAACTATAAAATTAGTCTAAGAATCGATACATGCTTTGAAAAGGTAAAGCGTACAAATATTGTTTTACAACAAAACGTTTTATAAAATATATTTAAGAGTAATGATTTAGTAAATAAGTATTCAAGAATGAATATTATTTATTTATAAGTTTATTTTTTTAGTAATTTGTTAATATCTATAAGACTTATTATAATTTTACTTTTTGTTAAAATTTTAGTATTATATAAAAAAAATAAAAAAAATATTTATTATTTTATTAAAAAATACAAATGGTATGTTCAACATTAATTTGTCAAGTTTTACACGTGCAAGCACATGAACAATGCAGATTAATGTGAAGAAATCATATGCTTAAATGTGCACTATTACAGGTGAAAGTACATTCGGTCAAGAACAATAAAGGTAACATGAATTTTTCTTTTTTCTTTTCTATTTGTGTTTGTAATAAAAATAATCATTCACACATGCAGGGTTGGACATGAAATGCTATAAATATAATTGAAATATATAAAAAGTATATAATTCATATCAACAATAAGTAATTAAGGTTATAAAGGATGAAATAAAAAATATTTTTTTTACAGTATATATTGACCTATAAATAATAATTATATAAACAAATTATTTATTCATAATCAATAAATTTTAAAAGAATATGTTATTTTTAAAGTAAAAATTAACAATAGAAAATAAATAGATAGGAAAGACACTATGTTAAATTAATTTTTGATATTTTATATTTTTTTTGAAATAAATCAAAATTTATTAAATGTTTAATTATTAAAAAAAATATACAAGGTGTTTTTTTAACATAAAATTTGTATGATTAAATATGAAAAGAAATTCAAAATATATATTTAAAATTGACACGAAATGAAAAGAAATGTTTTAGATTAGATGAGAGAGGAACATGATGCATCTTTCTTTAAAAAAAAACTTAATGTGAAGGCAAAAAATAAAATATAAAAAAAAAAACACCTTTTGATGTCCATCAAAAATTTAATGTTAGTACCATGAAGTTACAAGAAACATAAGAGATGTAGAAGATGTAGTTGATAAAAAAATAAATCTACAAATAAAGAAAATAAAATTAAACGAAAAGATGATATCATAAAAAAACAAAATAACAAGCATTACAAATAAAAATAGAGAAAAAAATTAAAAAATAAATAAATTTAAATATATATATATTAAAACAATAAAAAATATTAGAAATATAAGTTTATTATCTTTTTATTTAAATGATGTATTAAAAATTTTTATATCATTTAAAATAAGAGAAAAATAAATTATATTGTTATTTTGATTTAAGTAATTAAAAATAAAATATTATTAATATTTTATTATATTTTTATTTCATATAAAATATATAAATAAAATATTACAAGAGAAGTTTTGCCTATATATAAAATACAAGTCTTAGAATACTTTTTACAAGTTACCAATACATAACCCAAGATAGAATGATATTTTTTGGTGACATTTATGATTAGCATGTGTGAAATTAGTGAATTATTGCTATATGAGTCACTTATACCATATCTCAAGTGGTGGATAAAGTTGTGGTTCAAAGGGATTGGGATTATTTAATAGGACAACATAGATATTAATGAAAAGGTTGAAAGTATTATACTAACTAGTAATGTAACCATTAACCTTTACAGTGAAAGTTTTTATCTAAGACATGACATGCCACCAACTGATGGGGACTTCCACGTTCATCGTTTTGCACCTCCAAAAATCGTTTGGGGAGAATAAATTATACCAAAATTATGTTTTCAGTCTTCATATTTTTTCGAAAATTCTAGGATGTAATTTTAAGAATTTATCAAATCTATTATTAAATTCTTAAATGAGTTTAAAGTTTCTACTTTCGTATTTATTGATGAGTTTAGAATTCAAACTTTGAATTAATACTTAGATTTCTTTTTAGGAATTAATCATAATTTGATGGCGAAAAACTTACTTTGTTTAATTAAACTAATTCTATTTACTCTTAATAATGTCGAGATCTCAAAGATGAAGAAAATACTCACTTAAATGATGCTCGTAAGATTCCTGAAAGAGATAAGATATATATAAATATATTTTATTATTATATTTTGTTAAGAGATAAATTTTGAGTTGATAGTGAAATCAGCTACTATTCTCACTATTTTTTTTATTTATTTTTCAAAAACATGACTCATACATTAGTTGAATATCAAAAATATTTTTCTTCGTGGTGATCTACAAGAAATAGTTTATATGTATCAACCATTGAGGTATCGTGACCGTACTTATTTAAATTATGTGTGTCGTTTATTATATGGGCTTAAACAAACACCCCATGCTTGATATAAACGGTTTGCTAATTATGTCATGTCTCTTAATTTCTCACATAGCAAATGTGACCACTTATTATTTATTTAACGTCGCATATGACTTACATTTTGCTCTACGTTGATGACATTATTCTTATTACCCTCGTCTCGTACTCTCCGATTATATATTATGAACCTTCTAAACTCGAAATTTGCTATGAAGGATCTTGGTCCTTTGAACCATTTTCTTCGCATTGTAGTGACCCGGCATAAGGGTGGTATGTTCCTTTCATAGTGCAAATATGTTAATGCAATTATTTGTTAGACAAATGACATCTAGAGGGGGGGTGAATAGATGCACAAATTAAAATAGATGTCAAATTAAAAATTTATTTGTGAGTCAATAATTTGTTTGAACACAGATAAAGCGGAAACGATAATATAATCAGGAAAAGAGAAAGAGATAAGGGAAAGAGAAGAAC